TTTTAATTTAAAAAATTTTTTTATAAAAAATACTATTTACAAAACAAAACAGGTGGCCACTTCCAACCGCACACTTCTAACTACGTTGTGCTGCTGGGCGGCATTAACGGGGTCAGACGCCAACAACCACATGGTGGAGCTGGTATCTAAGTCGTTGACCGTGTGACGATTGCGCACAAATGCATTGCAGCCACGAAGCGGTGAAGATGCTGAGCGCCAGCAGGGAAAGCCACCAAACAAGACAACGCAAACTAGCGGTAATAAAAAGTGAAGCCAAAATCGATAGTAGGCATGCTGCTGGCTGCCGTGCGAGTTTTTGTTGCCCACAACAACAAGCGATTGCATCATCGGAGGCGGTCAGCGTGGCAGTGGCAGCAGCAACGCCAACGCGCGTGCAGGCAAACAAGGCACTGAAGAGGCGAGTGGTCGCTAACTAGCCTACAAGTAGCTAGTTTTTGTTGTTTACTTCGGCTTCTTCGTGCTTTGGACGTCTAAATGCGCCGTTGGAACGCAAGTCGATGAAATCATCAACGGTTTTGCAATGCGCCAATAACCACCAGCCAAAACCACGAACCCACTTTGGACGGGCAAACAAATTTACAAAAACAAAAGCAACAAACGAATATTAGACAAACGACGCGCCAAACGCGGTTCAGCGCGAAAACGGCATTGAAAGCAACGGCTGGGCGCGCTAAGGCAACGTAAGCGTACGTCAGTGGCACAAGCGGAAGAGTGCAAAGTCAATAAAATTCCACACGTATGCAAATGCGGCTGGCGCTAGACTGCAGGGATGTGTGCAATTAAAGCATTCCCAATRTGCCGTRTTATGACTCTATGCCCTGSCATGGCGCTGCAAAGATTATTGAGTAGTTTATTAGGCGCTCAGTGGCGCTGCTGAGCCGTTGAGCCGCAGCTATCTCACGAAATCAGTAAATGCGCCATATTTTTATATTTCGCGGTAATTAAAGCTCGTCTTTTAATTATTTATATATTTGAAAAGAGATTAAAGTTCAAAAATTTGTGTTCGTGAAAACAAGTATTAATCGGAAATATTAATAAAACATATACACTGTGCAGCAACAGAGATGAAATGCTACGCAAAACACATACAATTTTACTAATCAGTTTGGTATTAAATATTTTGTAATTATCATTTTTATGTGGTCATAAATATTTGTATTTTCAATTACATTTTCAATGATTAAAGCGCAACGCTGGCGGTTGTGAAAATATTAAGAGAAACTAAATTATTTATAAAAAAAAATAAAAACTTATTTTTGGTTTTATTATTACAAGGTGATAGTTTAAATT